ACCGTGTTGACCAGGATGGTCTCGATCTCTTGACCTCGTGATCCACCCGCCTCGGCCTCCCAAAGTGCTGGGATTACAGGCTTGAGCCACCGCGCCTGGCAGGGCCTAAGTTTTAAACCAAAGGTAGGGAGTGATTTTTTTAGAGTCTGGCAAACCTAGGTTGAAATCCTGCCTGTTGAAATGGCTCTTCACTAGCTCATTAACCTAGGGCAAAGTATTCAACTTGTTTTCATTTTTGTCTTCATCTCTAAAATGAGGAAAATATGGTCTTACAAAATTGTCGTGAGACATAGATGAAATAATATCCCAAAAAAAAGGTACATGGAGAAACTAGTATAGTGCCTGGTATATAGTAAGTCTTCCATTGGTAGCTGTCATTGTCTAGCTTTAACATACTCAGCCTTCAGTATGTTGAATTAGTCAAATTAAGTGAAGCATTGCAAGGAGTTCAGAGGAATTTGAGATCAGCAAATGATTTCTGAAGTTTAGGGAAGACTTCGTGGAAGTGACACATAACCTTGCATAAAAGCTGAAGAATAAGAAAGATCTAAACAAGAGTGTCTTTCTCTTTTCTCCCTACCTGCCCAGCTTCTTATTTGAGGGTATATTGGGCAGAGGGGCTTTCAGACAAGCAAAGGGAGATTTTTACAGAAAGACTGAGATGAAGTTATAAAGACCTGTAAAGACCAGATAAAAGAATTGAGACAGAGGAAGCAGGAAGCCACTGTAGGTTTTTGGGCAAGATAGTGATGCTCTAAGTATGGGGTTTACGAAAGGTTAGTCTGGAAGAGATTTGCAGGATGGCTACCCCGGAAGCTTTTTCGTTGTAATACAGAAAGACTTGCACTGAGGGCATGGTGTTAAAAATAAACAGGTAAGTAAATGTTTAAACATCCTGAAGGAAAAGTCAACAAATCTTGGCAAATAAACAGATACAATAAAAAAGAATGGGACCACGATTTTGAGTTTTCGAGATTGGTAGATTGAACAGACAGGGAAATCGAGAAGGAGAATCAGACGATGATGTTTTAGGTTGATATTTAGACAGATTGTGCTTGAGATAGTAAGGTTACCGTGGGCGGGAATGTCTAGTAGTGAGTAATCAGTGATGTAAGATACAAGATCAAAGCTCAGGTCAAAGAGAAGTTACACATACAGGTCAGGGATTTTTCCGGGCTCCACAGAGGTGTGCCCCGGGAGCTGTTGCAGAGTGCATGTGGAGGGCATGAGTAAGACAGTTTCCTTGAATTTGCCAGAATTACTTGTTTGTTTGGTTTTTTTTTCCTCTGAGATAGAGTCTCTCTCTGTTGCCCAGGCTGAAGGACAGTGGCACAATCTCAGCTCACTGCAACCTCTGCCTCCTGGGTTCAAGTGATTCTCCTGCCTCAGCCTCCCAAGTAGCTAGGATTACAGGTGACCGCCACCATGTCCAGCTAATTTTTGGTATTTCTAGTAGAGATGGGGTTTCACCATGTTGGCCAGGCTGGTCTCGAACTCCTGACCTCATGATCTGCCCTCCTCAGCCTCCCAAACTGCTGGGATTACAGGGATGAGCCACCGCACCTGGCCCCTTGTTATGTTTATTTTGGGAGGGGAAGCAAAGGAAGTTACAGCTTTAAAAAAGTTTGATAACTATTGCTGTAGTAATAATTAAAGATTTGAGAGTAAATATGCTTTCTAGCAGAAAGAATAAAAGAACAAATAGCCTCAAGAAGAAGAGGAGTAAAGGAAGTAAGCCATATCTGACAGTGTGTTGATAAATGGGGACAAAAAGAGCCGAGGAATGAGCAGATAGAAGAAGAAATTAGGAGTGTAGTATCATGGAGACAAGGAAGATA